TATCCTGTGTCTCACATGTATGCTGATAAGGCATTTTCATTTCTCCAAATCCTAAAAGGTGCTGAAAGATTTTAACTTGAATTAAAACCAAAGAGTATGTTATTGGGAGGTTTTTATTATGTAACTAAATGCTACAGATACAGTGAAATGCCACTTGTTTTTGCAACTTTTTTGAAGGTTTTTCATTATTTCTTTCATTTTTCTTCCAAGAGTCTCAATTTCAATAACTTTGCATCTTTATCTGAAGAGCTCTAATTTATAATATTCAGGCACTAGCTTCGTATTCTTCATTGCACTTTCATATTCTTGTGTTACATGCCCGTATTATGGTTGCAAGTTTATGTGAAAATGACTTGAATAAAATGTTTCAAGCGTTCTACTTGTCAAAGTATTATACTTAATGCATAGGCCAGATCCACCTCTCAATGGAGACTGAGCTCTCTTGAAAGGTTCAATTAAAGTTGTTATATCTACATGAAAATGAGGAAGATGCTGTCATGCTGACATGGTCTCAGAAAAAAAAGGCGCAAGTTAGAAGAAAGAAAAAGTTGCAAGGCATAAATTACCTCTCACACTACATAAAGGCTTAACACATGAAGGTGTAACAGGATGAGGTATGGTTCATCTGGATACAACATTTCCTTACCATATCATAGGAACAGGAACTTGGAAACCACTTTCAGAATTTCTGCTCCAAAACCTTTCATGGAAAGAACATTTGAGCAGTCCATGGTAGAAAGTCTACGTACTGTAGAACTAACACATTTAACACCCAGTTACGCCAAAAACCTTTTTACCCTTTGTTATTTACATTCTCCGAGTACAAACCAACGTCCTGCTGCCTCTTCAATCTGTACTCTAAACTGATGAAATACGCTGAATCGTGAAGCATCTCTTGTCCCTTCACTGAGAGATTAATACAGAGGTGCACGGTTAAAAACTTCGGAATGTTCAGTCTAGTAAGAAGTTGTCAAACACTTAAATATCAACTAATGGCACTCTTGGCTTTGAGTAAATGGGAGACAAAACCAATGTAGTACCTTTTAAAACTCATAAAATAAATGTAGAATTATTTCAGATAAAAAGTGTTGCAATGATGTTTCTATAATTTAACAAAATTATTCCTACACTACTACATATTAGAGCTCAGAGCTTTAAACTGAGAATTCCTGCAAGTGCTATTCCTAGAGCACAGAACTTGGTGTGGATCAGAATCCATGCAAATACAAAAATACAGTCAAAAATGCATACAATTATTGCAGAACGTATGTTCAATTTTATTGAAAATAAAGCATATACTAGTTTCCAAGTATTTTCTACCTGCTATTCTATCTCATTTTCACATTAGAACACCTGCCTAGTATTGCAAAATGATCTGTCACCACTGCATGGTTAGAAAGCAGCCAAACGCTTTCTGTTAAGAAAGCATTGCTGTAACTGAATTTTCATTCAAGCCCTGTTTCTCCTGGTCTAATCAGTCCATAAAAACTGATGAGAGAAATATCATGCCTGTTTGGAAATCTTCAAATTGGTGCTATCAACAGTACACCTGTCTTTTTTAAAAAACACATTTAAACTAATATTGACTCTCTTAAAAGATACTGAAAAATCCGAGGTGGTTCTGTCAGTAAGTCTGAAGTGAAAAAATTGTGCACCTGAAGCAGTCTAGTAGTGTCTGACAGTATGTACCCTGACTGAGAACACTTCTTCTATGGTATGGTACTGAACTGGAAAGCATGGTTCTCAAGGTTTTTTAAATCTAATCATCACAGAATGAAATAACTTTTTGTATCACTGTAAAAATAAGTTGGTAGTACTTTGTAAGAGGTATCTGTCTAAACAGTATTACAGATACAAGTTATGTTAAAATCATGTATATACTGAAAGTGTTATGTTGTTACAATGAGGAAAAAATGTTCTGAACTTTTATCAACAGCCTCCAGGCAAGTTCATTGGCTTTATCAGTTCACAGAAAAATTGTCCAGTTCCACATAAAAAATATTATCAAGTCTCAACCACCACTACTCATTTGTATAGTGCATTAAGGCTGTGATCCAGGTGAGTCACTAAGTACCAGCTGAAAGCAGCCATAACCCATTACAATATGAATCAGTGCCAGCAACCTAATCTCTCTTTTCTCATTCATGTTCACTGTATGTTATCTTTTTCTTTTCTTTAAAGTAAGAGCTCAGAAGTGTTTTTTGGAGACTAAAAAAGAGATGTTTTGATAAGTCAGACATCCTTCAGGAAGAATTCTATGGCCACAAATTACAGCTGTAAGAATGGAGTAAGAAACTTGCTCAAATGCCAAGATAAACCAATGCTCCTAGATGTCTAAGCACATGTGAAAAAGCACTTTAAGACAGTAAGCTTCTTAAAGTCTTTTTTTTCTCCCCAAACTATTTGCAATCTTTAACATTTTTTGTCTTCAATGTGAATCAACTCTTAAAATAGGGTGCTCATCTGCTAAAAGAAAGATAAGCTGTCCATGAAAAACTGTGTTATAGCTGATGACATGTACCAGAAGCATTTTTTCTTACCTTTTATTTGAAACAGAGAAATCGTATACCAAACATTTGTTTGGTGTAGCATTCAGCTAGGATTTATTTATTTAAAGCATTAAAGATTAGCATTTGCATCTGGAAAACCTGAAGAGTTTGTATATAGCAGGTAAAAGCATGGCTTTTTCTGGAAAATATGATCCTTCCCTACAAAGCCACAGTAAACACGTTTCTGTGTTTTATTTTGATGCTTCTGGCCTTAAATGTTGTTCAATATGGTACAGTGAAAATGACAACAACAACAAAAAAAAAAACCACTGGGAAATGGAAGGTTATCTGAATTTCTAATTCCTCTGAGCAGCACTGCCATTCAGGAAGATAATACCACATATACTGACATTTGTTCAGGATGCAGAAAATAAAGCCTAACTCAGTGGGGCAAAGACATGCCTAGATAATAATACAAAATGGACCAACCAGAACACTTAGCCTTAAAGAACTTAACAGAGGATGGGTCAATGGGCAGAAACTGCTGGGCTATCAATGTTATTAAGATACAGTCTGCAGGGGAGAGAGAGAGGTGGCCATACCAGCAACAGAGTAAACACTACATCAAAAACCTTGTATTTGTTCCTGCCATTTGACTCTAATGTCATCCCAAGTGGAAACCACTGAAGTATTACACAGCAACTCCATGTTTTAGACACATCCAGCAACTCTCCTGTGGAGCTGCTGACTGTATGGGAGTCATTGCTTGACTCAGTCCTAAGTATACAAAATCACAAGGAGTAGATGAAGAGGCCTCTGGATATCATTTAGTTTAAACCCACTGCCCAAGCAGGGTCACCTTGAGACTGTTACCCAAGATTGTGTCCAGTCAGGTTCTGAGTATCTTCAAGCATGCAGACTCCACAATCTTTCTGGGCACCTGCGCTAGTGCTCTGTCACCCTCCCAGTGAAAAAGGTTTTTCTTATTTAAGCAGAATTTCTTGTATTTTGGTTTGTGGCCATTGCCTCTTGTGCCACTCGCTAGCACTGAGAAGAGTCTGGCTCAATCTTCTTTACACCCCCCACCCCGTATTTATACACACTGACAAGATCCCCTCTGAGCATCCTCTTCTTCTGAACAGCCTCAGCTCTCTCAGTCTCTACTCTTGTCATATATTTTAAACCCTTAATCATCTTGGTCCCTCTTTCCTGGACTCATTCCAGTCTGTCCTTCTCCTTTGTGTACTGGGCAGCCCAGAACTGGACCCAGCACTTCAAATGTGGCTTTACCAGTGCTGAGTACAGGGCAAGGATCACTCCTGTCATCCTACTGGCAACACCCTTTCTAATGCAGTCCAGGAGGCTGCTGGCCTCCTTTGTCAAGACAAAGAAAAAGATTGTTTTTCATAAGAGTGTAATACATAGGAAGGACTTCTACACCTTAAGGAATTACAGATTCCACAAATTTACATGGATTTAAGAGCAGAAAAATCTGCAGAAAAGGAATCCACTGCGGATTATTAAACACAGTAAGCTACAATATCACAAGATGTCCCTGAGCTATAAAACTGGAAGCTTGCCAAGTTGGAAGCTGGATGATGTATCCCTATGTGCTTCCTCTACCCCTATACTTAAAGCATCCCTTTTTGACTACTGTTGAAGGCATTAGGCTAGATGGATCTTTTGTCTGATGCAGGGCTATTCTTAGGCATTACAAAATGCCTCATACCTCAGTCAAATGAACTCTCAAACTCAGAATGGCACTTAAATGTTTCATAGTGTACAAAGACCTTTCAGTTCAGCATTTTTTCAGAAAGTGCAAGACAAGCATATTGGGGGACCCATATATATCCACCAGGATAATAGTATTAAAGTCTTCGAATCGGCAGTATAATCAAAGACAAATCACGATTTAACAGGCCAATGTTTTATTGCTCTCCAGAAATTTTCATATCATGCACTACTGATCAAGTTTTCCAGCTACCTGATACAATCATGAATTTGTGAAGTCTGTTCAAGTTTAAGATTCTCTTACTTTTCCTCAGTTGAGACGTATTTGATAATACAGTCCTAGGATCATCACCTCAATATTTTGTATTTCCCCCCCTCTTTTGACATCCAAGTCCTCACATAATTTTGTTTTTTTTTTACACACACACACACAAAAAAAACCCCTCCAAAGAATCTGTACTATTTGTACAGGGCACAAATGATGTTCCTAAAAAACATTCATTCACCTTAGGGTGTATTTCATAAGTGGTGACACCACGTAATGAGACTCACGAACCAACACCATATGACCACACAGTAATCAACAGAGAGCACACTGAATAAATGAATCAATCTTCATTATTAACAGGTAGTAAGTTCTAGCAGTTGCTATTTTATACGTCACAAAGGATAAGGACAGTGTAACAAAAATGTTCCAAGAGCACTTGTTACTTCATAAGAAAATACTATATGATGTACATCTGCAAGAATCTTCTTTTAAAATCTCAATTTACAGATAGTCTAGTCATCAAATTTAATCTTTTTCCCTTGGAATGCTGTAATTTGAGACATTTGCTCCCGGCGTCTCTTGCTTGCTTCCCATGATGGATGAAGAGGCTGCTCCAAACATGCTTTCTTATTGTTGCATTTATCACCTGCAGCTTTTGCAAATGGCTGCTTCTTGAGCTGTGGTTCCTTTTTAAGAAGAGCTGTGCAAGATGTACAAAATAAAACATTAACTACATCATCAACCTTCATAAAAATATGCTAAAACTACCTTGGGATTGCAGGTATTTTCAAGAATTTCTTAATGAGCCATGGGGAATACATTCATCTGAATGTTCACAGCAAGATTTCCCCATCTTACGCCCCAGTAAATTGTCACTCGGTAGACTGCAGATAGTTAAGATTTATTATTACCGAACACACTCAAAATTTGTGGAGACAAATATTCAGCACAGTCTCAACTTTTTTCCTTACAATAAACCAATGACCAATTGGTTTATTGTGAGGAAAATGTATTATTATTATTACCAATTTATTATTTCCTCATAATAAACCAATTACACAAAGTAACTAAACATGACTGGAATGATATCTTTGATCCAATTAATTCCAAAATGGAACCATGTATTATAAATGGAATAAAATATTGAAGGATCTATTGAAGGAAATGCTCATGAGATAAACTACTTGTTAAATATCATAATCTGACACCTTTACCTGTGCACAGGTAACAATAACTGCTTGACATGAACACAGATGGAAAAGCACTTTCCTGTGTAAACCCTACTTTAAGTATTTCTAATATTAAAAACCAGGAAATAGCAAACAATATGCATAGATTAAAATGAAAGCTCAACAATTTGACCATTTGAACAATAAATGTTAAAATGTGCCACAAAATTGAAATAAAACAAAACCCAGCCTATCACGATTAGTCTGCAGAGGCAACAATATCTTAAGATGTTTTTACTCTTATAACTTTATCATGTTAAGTAATACATACCTGTTCTTCCATTTTTGAGAGGCTGGTCTTTAGCATTTCTAAAAATAAAAAGAGAATTTAGGATTTTTCAAGAAACTTGTAAGATGAAGAACACCTGTGAATAAAGAATTGTCATCACCAAAACACTTGTGCAATGACTTCTCAAGCATAAAGTGCAAACTGCTTATATATTGTTTCGTCTTTGTTAATAAAGAAGTAAAGATAGAAGTATTCAGTAGTGATTTAATCTGGATGCAGGTCTAGTTAGGAATCCTGTGTATATGTCAGTGCTAATGTGAATATGAAAAATACGTGTCAAGAAAGCACAAGAAGGCTGCAGTGTACTTTATGTGAAGATGTTCTAAGCTGTAATTGTCTGAAATTAGAGTTGGGGAGAGGGGAACCTCATGAAATTTAACAAGGACATGTGCAGAGTTCTGCACCTGGGGAGGAACAGCCCCATGCACCAGTACAGGTTAGTGGCTGACCTGCTGGGAAAGCAGCTCCATGGAGAAGGACCTTGGAGTCCTGGTGGACAATAAGTTATCCATGGGACAGCAATGTGCCCTGGTGGCCAAGAGGACCAATGGTATCCTGGGGTGCATTATGAAGAGTGTGACCAGCAGGTCACAAGAGGTTATCCTCCCCCTCTACTCTGCACTGGTGAGGCCTCATCTGGAGTATTGTGTCCAGTTCTGAGCTCCCCAGTTCAAGAGAGACAGGGAACTTTTGGAAAGAGTCCAATGGAGGGCTATGAGGATGATTAAGGGACTGGAACATCTCTCGTATGAGGAAAGGCTGAGAGACCTGGGGATGTTTAGTCTGGAGAAGAGAAGGCTGAGAGGGGACCTTATCAATGTCTGTAAATCTCTGAAAGGTGGCTTCAGACGGCGGATGGAGCCAGCCTCTTTTCAGTAGTGCCCAGTGATAGGACGAGGCACAATGGGCACAAACTGCAGCACAGGGAGTTCCACCTCAACATGAGGAAAAACTTCTTTACTGTGAGGGTGACGGAGCACTGGAACAGGCTGCCCAGAAAGGTTGTGGAGTCTCCTTCTCTGGAGACCTTCAAAACCTGACTGGACACATTCCTGTGCAACCTGCCCTAGGTGATCCTGCCTTGGCAGGGGGGGTGGGCCAGATGATCTTCAGAGGGCCCCTCATGATCTTCAGAGGTCCCTTCCAACCCCTACCATTCTGTGATTCTGTGAAATTGTCCTTGCTTGGTAAGGGCTACTAAAAATCACAATTTCCATTACTGGGAAGGTGGGAGGGAATGGAGAACATAACAAGGAGAAAAGGCTTACCTTCTTCTGTTTTGAGATTTCTGATTAGAGGTAGACAAAGAACTGCAGAACATTGATTCTAGCTTGCTTGCTTTTGCATGTGGCTTTCCCTCTTCCATGATCAAATCTTGTGCTGTCCCAGGCGCTGTGTTCTTGTCTTTCTTCAGTATGTTTTTCTGAAATCTATCCTTTTCTTTTTCTGAAGAAAGCTCAGTAACTGCTGCTATCTTTTTCTTTCTTTTTACTTTGCCAATGAAGAAATCATCATTGCTGTCACTGCCAGAATCTGATGACTGGTTATAAAACCTCTCTTCAGTACTATCATCAAAGTACTCCTCTTCATTAGGATGTTCCTGGTCACTATCATCATTAATTATTTCTTTTATTGCATTTAATTTGTTCATGCTTAGATTTTCTTTCTTTTTTTGATAGCCAAGTTTCTTTCCTGTTTTATTCTGAGTAACTGCTTGCATTTCTACTGCCTGAAATGAAGATTCTTCCCGAGCATGTGCTTTCTCCATTTCCACAGTTTTCTGCTCAGATTCACTCTCACAAAGTTCTTCAGCCACTCTGTCAGTTTCTATTTTCATAAACATTTTTGTTTTGTGTTCACATCCTTGCTGTTTTTGAGCTAGTTTAAGAGCTTGATCATCCAAATTGCTATTGAAATGTTGTGCTGATTTAGGCTGTTCTTCTGTCTTGTCCTTTTTCGAAGGAGTGGCTTTGGCTGGGTTCTTTCTTGCATCCTTAAAAGCTTGTACAGCAGCTATACAAGGGGCAGAAGAAAAACCTTTTGTTGCAGCTACACAAGTTTACATAAGTTATTTTAATATAATAAAACATTTTTGCAAGTTAAATATGTTGTATTAAGTAAGCATATTTTGAATGTGGGGAAATACCTTAGACTACAGCAACAACAAATGTGAGGAAAAGAACTTGAAATTATTACCAACTGAATACACTGTTAAACTTGTGTTTAACTGTGAACTTCTCTTTCAGCAAACAATCTGCAGCTGATAATCATGTTCATTTAGGGTATTACTTTGTGTGTAGAAACTGCAAACAAATAGTAAATTGCTCAGATACAATTAAATGGATATTCGACATGCTCTGTTACTAACAAAGTAACTTTGTGACAGTGTTACTAGGACTTGACGCTTTTTAAGATAAATTTTAGTTGGAAAATTTGAGTTTAAAGAGAACAAGAGATAACCTAAAGTATGAGGAAAGATTCCCTCAGGATTTTGTGGACAGTTTCCAGGGAATTTTAATGGAGTCATCTGCAAAACCTCTTAGCTGCCTTTGGAAACCCAGTTGTAATGCTCCTTTGTCTGTGCATGTTATTGTGCTCATTGACAGTTCAGTCCTATTTAATTTAAAGACACTCCATTATATACATTCCATTTTTAGAGCTCCCATTATAAGCCCTGTTTGTCCTACACCACATATCTTAAATGCCATATGGCATACTGTCACGTATAAACCCATTTCAGACAATATAAATGACTACAAGATTGTGACACTTGGTTCACTGCAGCTAGTTAAGGTAATTACAGGAGCTTTTCACTTTTCTTTTTATACTGGTTGTTCATCTCAGGAATATGCAAGAACAAAGTAACACACCAGTTTACACTTCAGCTATTGAAGTCATAAATAAGTTAACATAATATTTCATACCTTTAAGTTCAACAAATCTGGGTTTCAAGATGGGATGTGTTGCAAGTCTTGCAATGGCTCGCTCAGCTGCAGTACAGTTTGGCTATACAAAATAAATTCAAAGGCATGAAGTCAGTAAGAACGGTGAATATTTAAATATCTATACAGGTCTGTATCAGTTATGCTACAATGCATATTACCGTGATTCTGGACTATTAACTGAACAAGAGGAAAAGCTTATGGTACTATAATATTTGAATATTTCTTATTTTTCCTGTATTACCGTCATTCTAAATGACAAAAAATCTGGCTGCCCAAACAGTAACAGAAATGTAACAGACATGTAAATCTGCTATTTCTCACATACTAAATAGGGTTAACATTATTTTTGTTTTAAAAGCGTAACAGACACCTTTCAGAGCTAACATGCTGATTTGACATTCACTATTTCTTACTTGTGCAAAACAAATTCATGAACCACCTGAATAAAGAACATCATATTGGTAGAAGGCATTCTGCGTGAAGGAATACAGCAGCTTCCAAGAAGTGCCGTATGGATCCCACAAAAGTAGATACCATGACATAGCAGGTATTGAAGGAGTATAAATTAAATGTGGTTAAGATGCAAGGCCTAACCTGGTCTTAAAGACAACCAGCCTTGAATTCATGTGGTAAAATACTGGAACTCTGTAGACTGATTCAAAGAACAAATAGGATCTTCATGCTTTAATTAGAAGAAAAAAGAGAAAAGTACGAATTGCTTCCATTTTGGACTTTGTCTTTTATGTATTAGAAATCACAGGTATGACACACGGTAAAACTTAGCTCATTTTCAAGTTCTTGTCATCACTCTTCTTGAAGAAGAAAATGAGAGGTATCTAAGACTGTTCCAAAGACAGCTTTGTCATCTTTATTTGAAGGTGTAGCAGGCTTGTAAACCAGAAATTTATCAAGAAGATTTCTTAAAGCCTGCAGGAGAGAGGAGAAAATACACAGCTTCCTCCTAGTGGTACTGTAATTGATACATGTTTAAATTGTTGCTACCTGTAATTTGAGCTATATGCTACACAAAGTACTACAGCAGAAGCCACCTGAACCAACGGGTGATAAAAAACGGGTGATAAAAAAAACAGGCAAGTGTCCTGTGACCCAAGCTGAGCTGGTTTTTGTGCCCAACAAGTCAACACAACATGCTGCGTCTCCTGTCCTGAACAACCACTGCAACAGATGGAGCCCAAGTCACAGGTATGTAAATGGTAGGGAGTAAGGGGTGGAAATTGTACTGGCTCTGCCCTGGGATGGAGTTAACTTTCTCCACAGCAGCTGAGATGGTTGTGCTTTGGATTTGTGACTAAAACATTTTAGAGGTGGTAACACACCAATGTTTTAGCTATTCCTGAGCAATGCTTGCACAGCATCAAGGCCTTCTCTGTTTCTCTCTCTGCCCTCCCAACAAGAAAGCAAGAGGTGGGCAAGAAGCTGGGAGGAAACATGCGTGGGATAGCTGATCCAACTGACCAAAAGGATATTCCATTCCATATCAAGTTGTGCTCAGCAATAAAAGCTCAAGAAAAGGAGCAGGAAGGGGGGGATGCTTGTGGTTATGGCATTTGTCTTCCCAAGTAACCATTACGTGAAATGAAGCCCTGCTTTCCAGGATGTGGCTAAACATCGGCCCACCAATGGGAAGTAGGGAGTAAGTTCCTTATTCTCCTTTGCTTGCACACACAGCTTTGCTTAACTTATTAAACTGTCTTTATCTCAAGCCATGAGTTTTTCTCACTTTTGCTCTTCTGATGCTATCCTTATCCTGCAGGGCTGGGTGCTTAGTTGCTGTCTGAGGTCAAACCACGACACAAACACTACTGAATTCATGTTTAAAATATCTTATTTGCTTGACAGCAGAGTGCTCAGTGGGGAATCATGCTTGTTTGTGTGTACATTTTCCTACAGCAGAATTAGGCCACTTAGTATAAACACTTAGTATTCCCTGCATAAAGATAGATGGACACTTCACGCCAACTGCTACTGCAGGAGAGTCACTTTCAGTGCTTTGGTCTGAAGGAAACAGAGCAGAAGATAACACTACAGCTACAGCAGAGCCAGTACTTCTAAATGCAGAAAGATTTAATTGGTTTGCAAAATGTGAATCTTGTTCCTCAACCAATGCAAAGCAAATCCCATTTGTATTTCTTTTGCTTTAGTTCTACAGCTTACAAAATATACTCTGGTTATGTCTGCTTATATTTCATGTCTGAAGTGCAGAGCATCTGAGAATTCTAGTACTTTCTCTTCTCCTCAAGTCTCTGCTATTACAACGTTATTTCTTCAGGTCAAGAAAAAGTGGAAAAACATTTTCTGTGTAGACTGTCTACAAAATTATGAACATTGGCTAGAGGAGACAGGTCAAAAGATGGGTCCATTTCCAAGGTCCACAGACTGGCTTACTTTCAGGTTAGCCTAGCTCTTGAGAACTTAAAAACTGAATTTTGATCCCCATGTGACAGTGCTGCACGCTGCCACCAGATTCCTGGGACAGCAAGCTCACATTTCTGAAGATCAAACGCTATTTTCTTTGGAGATTTTTCTATAGCTGGAAAATCTATTTCTGAACTTAATTAATACACTTTTTCCCTCAGCTACTTCCTGTGGGTTTTGAAAGAATATACCATGAAGTTCAGAAAGCAGCAGCAGCTTCTGTGCAACATCTGGTGTCCTTTAATTCAAATATTTATAGAAAGGGCTTAAGCCTATACATGCCAATCCATATGGAATAACCACATTTTTTCCTTATAGCAAAATACCTCACAAACACTACTCACACTGATAGACAGTAGCCAACAAACATACAATATGACATTCACATTCTTTAAAATCTCCCATTTTTCTGTTTTTTTGGCACATCCAATGCTCAATTTATTTTTCTCAAGTATTTTCCATTATATAAAACCTTGGCAGAAAATAAAACTTAACAGAAAAACGTCAATTGTATTTACAGCAAGAACACCCTTTCCCCCTTCCCCTACCCCCAGTATGTTTAATTATGCAGATACTGGAATCGTATACATTTATTCTCACGCGTTCCTGCTACTTCTTGTATTATTTTGCACTAATCATTTTTTCATGCAAGAATTTCCTAGTACTTTCCATAAGAAAGTGTGCAATTGAGGCAATGCAAAGTGAACAAAGCAACTGAGCAGTGTATAGTCACACATTTCAGTGAAAAGTTGTAAGCTACCTAGAGAACCACTTGAAAGTCAGAGTCTCCTCAAACTTTTTATCTTGGTAATTGATGCATTTTTTCTATATATAGTATTAAAGATGTCTAGCTATTGTCACTGACATGTTTCATTAAACTCCATGGGGACATTTAACTGAATTAGCTGCACTGATCTATTTTCAAATCTCTTAAAATGAAAAGAAACCCAAACTGCATGAACAAGCATTCTTCATCCTAAATGGCAGATGTGCACACAGATGCACAAAGCTCAAAACATAATTTGTAAGTTATAGCATAATAAAGCAGCAGTTGTATAATTTATACACGTGAAAACACACATGCATGCCCCACATAAGGGACAGAAACTTTGTACAATATGGAAATGATTGGTAAGAGAATGGACATTACAAGCTTGCTAAGATAAAAACAGCTTCACAGTGCAAGTTTTGAGATATGCTGGAATACAGGTCAGAAGAACTATGAAATGGCTCTGAGAGCTGGCAGCACTGGGTAAAAAACAAGTCAGGCAGAAGTTGTGTGGGTAGTACCTGCTTCATACAATGCACGTGATAAAGTAAGAACAAGGAGCTGACTGTCTCACGGCCTTGGGGCAGATGGGATGGCAGGAGTTGAAGGGGATTCCTTGTTAGCATGCTTGACACAGTAGAGCTTCAGGCATTTAAGGGCAGAAACCTGGGATTAACTTGGCACCATGAAATGGGAACTTCTGACCATCATTTCGTTCTGATTACTCTTCCTGTTAAAATCTAATTTTGTTCGTACCCTCTCTACTATAATTATAATCAATAATAGGAAAAAAAGAGGTCATACTTCTATGCTTTAATTGACTTCCACACAAAAGGGGATTGCCTTGTTACAGGTCTCACCAGAAAGAAGACTGCTAGTAGAAGACTATACTACTACAAAGACTAATACTAGAATTTCAGCTCGGTGAAGGACAGTGCTACCAAACTGACAATGCTTGGTGGCCCTGTATCTGTCAGTTTGGATCATTGCTCAGTTATTTAAAATAATAACATTCAAATGGAAACAGTCAGAAGCCCCAGTGACAAGCACGCAGTACATGGCAAAAGCCATGACATGAAAAGTAACCTTGAAACAGTCATACTCAACTTTCTTAAACTAACTGAAAATGTAGTTTAATGTCAAATGTAACAACCTGTTTTTAAGCAAAAAAAAAAAAAAAAAAAGAAGGGCAGAGATAATGCTAAGCAGGGTAAGCAAAAAAAGTAAAAATTTCCCAATTGTGGGCCAAAACAAGATGTCATTGCAATACCCTTTGTCACAGCTTAGGAGAAGAGCTGTCTCTCTACTAAGAAAAAAAAACAAACAGAAAACCTGTTAATCCACACGTTCTTCCCAGAGCTCCTAACCAGTTACAGCTGTCCTTCATAATAGCAGATGTGGTTAATGTGGAGTCACAGGGTAGCTGAAGGTGCCAGATCATGGCTGCCACCCAAGTCTATTCCATGACCTCATACTGCCTTGGACTAAGACCCCTAAGAAAAGTTACTTTCTGACTGTGAAATGCTGCTAGTTCTCCCTCTTCCTTTATGTGTGTAAGACATCTAGTATGTGATTGTGGCCATCAGACATGGTGAAGATTTTGGTATGAGAGGCAATCGGTTATTGGTATCACTGTGGCAGCATTGCTGTCTCTCAGCTCCTGACAGCAAGCAACTTCTCCAACACTGAGTCCGTCCCACAGGCTGCAGTTCTTCAC